TAGAATCACTATGATAACTTTTTGCCCTGGGAAAAAGTTGTTCAAAACATCCCCAATAATTTTTGTGTAAATAACATGATAATATAAGCACCGCATAACCGATAACTTGCAATATAAACATGATGGTAACTTTTTTTACCAAAGAAAAATATATAAGTTGTTAAAAACATACACTCGCCTCGCGCGTGGGCCTCTTGAATGAACACAACACATAGCGTGCCACGGGAAAGTCACATAATGTTTAGTGTCATGAGGGGCACACGTGCTATAGGCATGATAAGTTACGCAAAAACATTATGGTAATTTTTGACCTATGGAAAAAGCTACCGAAACACACCTAGGTTTTTAAGTGCAAGTATCATGATAATATACGAACCGTAGACCTGGTAACTCATGTACAATCCCCCATGGTAACTTTGACCTGGGGGAGGTTGATGTACATATACCCTAATAACTTATGTGTAAGTACCACGGTATTTTATACATCGAAGACCTTATAACTTGTGTACAAAACACAGTGGTAACTTTGAAAGGGTGTAGTTGTTGAAGCATAGTACCTGATACGTTCTATGTAAATAGCACGGTAAATTATGCAACACAGGCCTGATAACTTGCATACAAATATCATGGTAACTTTGTCCTGGGGAGAAATCATGCGGTAGACGTGAAGAAGTGGTAGTTTTTTCGGGGGTGAGCGCCCGAGATGTGCGAGAGAAATAGGTTTCTCAGGCGAGCCTGCGGGGTCATTTGGGAAGAAGCGAGGTCGTGTGCCAAATATCACATTCCAAAAATATAATACATGTTTATCTAAATAATGCCAGAGTAACCAAGTACCATCGACTTTAATAGAGGATGTGGATCCACAAGATCCTGGTATCAGTAATATTTTTAAATTGTCATACGTCAAATTAGTTTTATACTATGTTCGGACAAAGTTAAGTTATACTTCCTTCGTTCAAAAAAAATTTGTTCCAAGCTTATTTTTCAAATGGATGTATACAATTAATGCTAGATACATCCATTTGACTGATAAGCTTTTTCGGATGAGGGAAGTACGTATTTTTACAGGAGAACGTTTTTTTTTTCATTGCACCGTCTCAGTGCAGACCAGCCCATTATCAGAGAGACTGGCGTGTAGGGTCACCTTGTCAGCATCAAGGTTGAACAAGACCAGACCAGACCAGACCAGAGCAGACCACGCAAATCCTCTGGCTCTCGCACCAGCCGGCCGTCGTTCCCCATCCCCTCGCCGCCGGCACCACCATACCGCCGCGGCGCCATGCTCCGGCTGCGAAGCTCCATCCTCGCCCATCTCCTCTCTTCTTCTCCGGCCACCTCTCCCGCACCCCCTCTCCACCGCCTCCTCTCG